TTTTTTTTTTTTTTTTTTTTTTTTTTTTTATCAAATGATAGCTAGGGGGTGTCATCCTATACAGTTACTTGGGTTTCTGGAAAGTAATAGCTTACTCTGTGTCAGCAGAGTGCTTCCAGAAACTTTGAGACTCCCTCACACCACAAAATGCATGATCTAGAAATATTAAATGTGACATTCAGACCCACAGTGTGGCAGATGACTGGGGTTACAACAAACAGGTGTGTGCATGTGTGAGAGAGAGATGGCAGCTGAAGACAAAGGGTTGTAATGGTTCTAAAAGGAACACGGAAATGGAAGGTTTTTGTTTTATTCTGAACACAGTGAACTGATAATGGAATAAGTGTGAATAGAGATACCACTACAATATCAATATCTTCCAAGACTATTGTGGCTTTGAGACCTGATAATTGATAAGGCACTAAAATCCCAAACACTTCGCCCTACCAATTGATTCTTAAAGCGGGTAAAACTACAATTAACGGAGAACAAATAGTATCTCAGCACAGTTCATCCATAAGCCAAGTTAGTGCTTCTGCCCCATCTGCAGCAGCATCAGATCATTTGCAGAAGGGGTTCAGTGATTTGATGAGCACATGCAGTGCTCTTGTATGTATCTCTAGGTAATGGTTGCATCAGCACCAACAGCAAAATGGGCAACTACTAAGGGCTTTTAGTAAGTTTAATCATTTAATGGCTGATACCAACAGGCATCTTTGACTGTGTGTACCTTTTTGCTTTGCAGCACTGCACTTTGACTATGGAAGCAGAGGCTACTGATGGATATATAACATGTAAGTAGTAATTTTATTTAATTTTGTTGATTTGACTTCCTTCTTCCAATATCTCTACATAAAGTGTCATGGAAGAACTTGAAAGTCTGTCATTTTGTACTATCACTATTATTGTAAGAAATTGCTTGGAGTAGTAATGCTAAATAATAAAGTTTGGGTAGTTCTTTATAAGACTGTTATGTAATTAAATGGTTACTAAGGTGAATGAATCTTCTATAAGACATTAGAGTTTACTTTATGATAACATAGATTAGAAACAAAATGTCAGTATTTATATTGCCATAAATTTTTAGCTATACATCTCATGTTCCCATTTCCTTGTCAGGGCATGTTGTTTAACTCCCAGCTAACTGAAAGCTGTAAATCCAAATTTAAGTGGAAGGTCTCTACCTCAGGATGATACTTTATTCCTTTCCTGATCAGCTCTGATTCACACTTAGTACTCTGGTGTTTGAAAATGGATAAAAGAATAGTTTTCATTTTTGTACATGCAAGACAACAGTATTTTTAAAACTGCTTTTGGGATCAATAACAGCAGATTGGTGGGAACTCTTTGATTCTTAAAAAAAAAAAAAAATCAAATACTAGTGTGCAGCCCCCAAGGAATCCTATTTTAATTGGTTGTGGGAGACTTTTAAAATTGGAAGAAAAGCAAGGGTGAGGGAAGTTATAAAAGTTGAATCCTTTAGAATTTGGTAGTTTTATTGAGGTATTGGACAGAAACTTACAAGTTATTTGTTTAATGAAAGCAGGTGACAATGAGCTTTCCCCTGAAAGGGAGCACTCCCACATGGCTATTGACCTCACCTCAAGCACACCCAATGGGCAGCATACCTCACCAAGTCACATGACAAGCAGTAAGTCTTTTTTTAAAATACGTTTCTCTCTAGCATTATATGTGAATTAGTTTGGTCTGTGGGTTCCTCATTTAGCTTACTGGATTGAAACCCAGTGCTGTAGGGTTTGCTAAGAAAAGAAGGGAAGGCACAACAGATTTGTTCTTGTTCATTAGTATCTCATGAATATGAGCCTGATCAGTAGTCTAGACAATACCAAGGTGGCATATGAGAGCTGGTCTTTACCTGTGCCAGGTAGGAAACACTTGGCTTTACTGATCCTTGTTTTGTTTTAACTGGTTTTAAGAACAGGTTGTTAGCATGATTACAAAAATAGCTTGAAATGGGGTTATTTAAAAAGTGAAAAAGTTTTCATTTCCCAGAGGCTTTATTCAAGAAAAATCTAAAGTTATGCTATGTAGCAGGGTATATTTTACCATTCTGCATAGAATGTCACCATTCTGTTCCTTAGCCCTTGTGTTAACCTTCAGAAAATGGACAGTTTAATTGGGAAATTTGTAAAACTCATTCACTAGCTATTGCTTACAAATTGAAAGGTTTTATTTAAGAATGTCAAGAGTGAAACTGAAAAAAAGCAAAAAGATCTGTGGAAATAAGAGGAGAACCAAGTGCAGCTAATGTTTGTTTGTTTTAAATGGGTTTTTTAACACTTTCAATGAAACAGCATCTTTAACTTACATTGGAGCATGGAAAAGTGCAATTTATATGCGCTTCCTAAAAACAACACATTTTATATTAACAATAGAGCTTGTTCACTGTTGATTACAATGCCTTACCAGAGTATTTGTCTTAAAGTGCTCCAATACCTGAATCCAAAAGTAATTTAAAATATGGTGTTTACTTTCAGTTAGTTTTTCTTTTCTCTGTGATACTCATTTTCTCTTGTGTGTATGAGTGGATAAATATATACACAAAAAGATATGTTTGAACTATTCTTTAAATATTCTGAAAGAAAAATAGGGCCTTTAGAAAGATCTCATTGAAGATCTTCAATACATTTGGTATTGTTACAAAGTCTTTCATACTGAGAGGACAGTGTTACTTTCATTTAATAATTTCTCCTTTCCTCCTCCAAATTACGAATAAAGTGGATTTTATGAGCCTTTAAAACTGGGGGTTATTATGAAGATCTCCAATTATATACATGTTGCTAGAGAATATGATTGCTAATGCTCTGGATTGAACTTTATATGACAACCTTCCATAATTCAGCATCTTTAGACAATTCCAGTCCTGCTGCTGTGGGATTCTGATGTATTTTATTATGTTGTAAAAGTTTTACTACTCACTTTCTTCATTTTCTTTGTTTCTTTTTTTATTAATGGGAAAGCTTCAGTGGAGGGGGTGGAAAAAAGCCCTTGCTGCTTTAAATCTTCTTTATCATATAGACTAAAATCTAGGGTCAAGTTAATGAATAAAAGGATGTATGCCAAATTCAAGCAAAATATATTAATGTGCTCAATATTTTAACATCTGCATTCATTGTGTTAATGTTTTCAATGATTATTCTATATTATCTGTAGTCCTTTTAATGGGCAGGTGCTAGGTCCAGCATGGGCACAGTCCTAGCAGTGTTGGCAAAAATTCTTTTGCACGTGCTGTTATATTAATTTTGCATGTCTGTCAATAATTTTCAGTACTGCTGCTCTATTTTAAGGAGACACTTCAGTGGTCAAATTTAGGGCTCCATTTAGTGTTACGAATCAAGGGAAAACTTGAGCTGGGAAGCAGGACTTCTGTGTGAATGGAGACGGCAATGTTATTTTATGACGCTTCTTGTGATTTCATTATGCAACTGTATATATTTGTAATTAAACATAAGAATACTTCAAATGGCATTTGCTTTGTCCTCTGTTAAAGCACATGTAATATGCATTAAAAGTTGTCAGGTCTTTGTTGCGGTTGTTACGTCAGCTACCTGGTACTAAGGGCCAAATTCTCAATGCAGCGTATACCTTCCAAATAAGTAGCCTGTGAACTGCCACCTGCTCTGGTGGGGAAAGAATCCTTTTCTACTTTCTAACCAGAGATTCAGTTGCTCCTGGCTCTGCTACGTTCCCCTCTGCAAGGAAATTAGAGGCTTAAAAGGTGTTTTAGCAGGTGGCCTAGATGGCTTTCTCATCTCCAGGCCTAGAATCAAAGAAAGATTTTAAGCAAATGGAGTCAGAACAATTGTAAATATTAAACCCAATATTCTAATATTTGGAAGTGGTTAAAACTTCAGTGAGCTTTTAAAGATGGTTTATAACAGGAGAAAAAAGTTATTAAAGACTAAGTAGTAATTTAATAAGAAAATAAGCGTTGTCTTCTGAGTGAATTGCTGCACATAATGAGGCTATTGCAATTCTCAGTGTTGGGGAATAATAACAGTATCTGACCAAATGGCTACTGGGATGACTGTACCAAGTGTAAGTGAATTCAAAAGCAGTATTTAAAAGTTAGAATCTGTTACAGAGAAGTCAGACAAGAGCTTATTATAAGATAGCCCATATTGTATTCCTACCAATCAGAGACGACCGTTCTGTACCATCAATTGTATTTCTCTTTTGTAACATCAAAGCTCAAAATCTTTCTTGGTAGCTTTTATTTTCCTTCTAAATTGAAATTTTTAGTACAACCCTTGTGTTACCTCTGTTATCTTGCCTTGAGCAAAATGTTACATGTTTTATAGATGTGTCAGCTTCTCTTCCCACCTTACCTTTTATGTGAATAAATGATGATGGATCTATGGATTTTTACCATTCATAAAGAAATCATGAAATTAAGCCAACTTTGAAGATTGATTTGTGATCTTGGAAAGTTTTGTTGTGATTAGAGAGCAGTTTTACAGGATGGCCAAGATAGTAGTTCTGGTATCACAGGATATAGGTCGATGAAGTTTCTAGGCCAAGCTGATTTTTTTCAGCCATAAGCGGGAGATTTTTGTTAAAGGAAACTTGACAAAGTAAACCAC